CACAGTGGCCCCTTTCTGTCCCCCTTACTGGGTGGGTGGTGTGTGGGGCTGGTGGAGAAGGAAAGGGGGTCCTGGGGGGTGGGTATGAGGACCCATGTGGTGTGGCTATACCAGGCCATCAGTAGGGTCCAGAGTGAACAGGTGCAGGCAGCTGGTCCTGGCAGAGCTGATCCCTGGAGGCCTCAGTGCTGCAAACTGGGAACGGGTACCCCCTCTTCTGCCCCACTGCCCAGCTGTGGGGCTGCAACACCCTCAGGGAGGGGGAGGGGGTGGTGTGCCCTACTTCAGGGTGCCTTGTGGGCCTGTGTCAACTGGTGGCGTTGGGGACTGCTGTGCTGGGAACACTGAGGGATCCCAGTGGTCCGGTAATGGAGAGCACAGGACTGGGAGAATCTGTGCTCCCAGTTTAAGCAGTCCCAGTTTGGGAGATCCCAGTGGTCTGAGTTGTGGGCAGTCCCAGTTTTGGGCAGGGTGGTTGCAGTGATCCCAGGTTTGGGGTGCCCAGCTCTGTTCAAAGACTCCCAGTTCAGCACATTCCGAGTGGGGTGGGGGCTTGGTGTTCCCAGTTCAAGGGTGCCCAGCTCCAGGATGATCCCAGTGCTTCCAGTTTGAGGGCACCTGGTGGGGGTCTCCAGTACCTTGTGCACCCACAGCTCCTGCAGCAGCACTGCCGCCTGCACCCCTTCCAGAGGGGGAGAATCCCCTCCCTCGCCCTGCTGGGGATGCCCCTGGGACACGGGGGTCCCTGGGCTGCCAGCGCATGTGGCCAGATCATGTTCAGCTGCTCATCCACCGGTACCCCCAAGTCCTTCTCCCCAGGGCTGCTCTCCATCCCTTCATCCCCCAGCTGGGATGGATACGGGGGGTTGCCCCGACCCAGGTGTGCTTGGCTGTGTTGAACTCCCTGAGGTTCCCATGGGCCCGCTCTCCCGCCTGTCCCGGTCCCTCTGGAGCGCATCCTGTCCCTGCACCACCCAGCTTGGTGCATCTGCAAATGTGCTGAGGGTGCCCTCCATCCCACCGCCTGTCACTGGCGAAGATATTGAACAGTACTGGTCCCAGTGTGGACCCCCAAGGGACACCACTCCTCGCTGGTCCCCAACCAGACCTTGAGCCATTGACCACGACTTCCCGGAGTCCGTGGCCATCCTGCCAACTCCTTGTCCCCCAAACGTTCCACCCACCAGCTCCACCTCTCTCCAAGTTCAAGAGCAGGGTATTGTGGGGGACGGTGTCACAAGCCTGACAGGCATCCCGACGTGACCTCCGCAGCTCGTCCCTTGTCTGCTGGTGCAGCTGCTGCCCGCAGAAGGCGGCGGGGTGGGTCGGGCAGGACTGTGCTGGCTGGCTCAGTCCCCTCCTGTCCTCCATGTGCCCACACACAGGAGGATCTGCTCCTCAACCTCCCCAGGCGCAGAGGTGGGGGTTCCCAGGGTCCCTTCTACCCTTTTACCAACGGGTACAGTGCTCCCCGTCTCCTGTCTCCGGGGGCTTCCCCTGGTGCCCTGACCTTTCAGATCCGACGGAGGCACCTTGGCAGCCACGCCAGCCCATCCCCCAGGGCTCTGGGTGCATCTCCTTGGCCCCCGTGGGGTTACGCACGTTCAGGCTCCTCAGGTGGTCCTGAGCCTGATCTCTGACAGCAGGGGGGACTCTGCTCCCCCAGCCCCGCTCTTGAGGTCCATCCGCCCCAGAGCTGTGGGAAGAGAGAGGTGGCCAGTGACGCCGAGGTGAAATCGCTGAGGAGCTCTGG